TTCCAATGGATAGCAAATAAGTCTGTGCATTCACTTAACATTCTTTAATTAGGAGTACTTTTTGTGTGTACATAACGGTAAGTTGCAGCCATTTGCCTCTCGATCAGCAAGCCTTAGTGCAGTTCAACGTATTCCTTTCATAATGTTTACGATGGTAATATGTCGAATAAACTACACAACTGCTGTCGTCAGTTATAGTCCTTAATAGACATCTATTATCCTTGACAGAGATGCTCAAATCTCTTTACTGTTTCCTTTCCAGTAGGCTAAATAATGTTGTAGGTTACCATAAATCCACATTAGTTGAGTGTTAATACGGCAATAAAATATTTAGGTTCGTATCTCAAGGGCTTGATGTAACAGTACACTACACATAGTGTTCCATGAAGAGATAAAATGCTTAATACGATAAATTCTATAACGAAGAAGTTCTTATGGACACAAGACTTCGACGCGAGTGTTAACAGAGGGATAAGTAATGTTTCCTTTACTTTCACAAGAGAAGTTCGATTTAGTCTACAAATACGGGTTTCATTATAGGTTTAGTTTAGTCAAATTCTAGTTTCATGGTTGTAATAGCTTTAATAAGAAAGATCTATTATGTACGGGGTGATAAAATTATTGGGTAAATTTTTATTTTTACTGAAATCATTTTGGCGATAAATCTCGTTATTTAACAGGTTTTATACACACACAAGTAGTTAAAATATTTTTGTTAATATTATTAGTAGTAGTAGTAATCACAGCAATGAAACCTTGAATTCTACTGCAGACCATAATTTTTTATGACCATCAATTGTGCCTATAGTCCAAAACAACAACACGTACACTGGTTCTCATTCTTATTCTAAGGCTACATGTCCCACACTGAAACTCAAATTACATGATTTACTCTATTCTGCTCCTTCAAACAAATAAAAATAAAGCGAGCTCAAAAAAATATAGGCTTTGTGACTAACAAATTTCTCTCGTGCTGGTCGTTATCAGAATCCAAAAGCGCTGTTGTATGTGGCGATGATCGCCTTTTCTAACAATGGGGAGAAAGAAAGACGCCATCAACTCGCCATCAGAATGAAAAGTCTGTCTCTGCAGTATTTTACATTAATGAAACCATAAAATGCTGAAAAACATAGCACTTAACAGAAGCGTTTGTCACAGAAACGGATACCAGCGATAAAATTCCCTGCTGTTTCGACACTTCAATTCACTCTACGAGACAGGACGTGTCTTATCTTGTGAAATAAATTAAAAAGTGACATCTTGTGTATTTCATTCTCATGTTACTGTAAATGTGTGTATGTGTGTGAGAGACAAAGGACAGAGATAAACTGAACAGAAAGCTGTTAAAATACCAGCTTGCTGAGAAGTCACCCCACGTACAAGTTTGAAGAACGAATACCTTCTCCTACTATAGTTCTGCACAATTACTTCAGTGTTACCTGATTTTTTAGCAGAAAGAAGTACATCATGTGAGTGTGAACAAACCTTATTATTATGATCAAATTTCATGCAGATTACAGTATATTTTTTCATATTTATTCATTATTTGTTTAAGTATGGTTTCAGCAGTTCACTCAGATTATGTGACATTGTTTAATAGGATGGTTACTTGGAGAGTGGATTGAGAAGGATACAAAAGGTAGCAGTAATTCCCTAATTTAAGAACTATCTTGGCAATTGCCTAGATGGACTGAAGGAAACCACATAATATCTGAAGATTTCTGTCTTCTGGGTTGTTGCGCTGTGTAGTCTGGTCGATGATATTCATCGCCCTGATGACGGAGGCAGTATGACCTCTGAAACGTTGGTTAACATCGACCAGACTACACAGCGCAACAACCCAGAAGACGGAAATCTTCAACCCTTATTACGTCTAAATAAATGTTTGCCTCTCTTGTCATTCAACTACTGAATGATTCGTTATATTTTTCATGAAATTCTGTACATAAAACCCATGCCAATAGCCAGTGATAGAACATTAATAAATATATGTGTTATGGGCCAATTAGGGCCAAGAATTGAAAGTCTACACGAATAACCGGAATCATATTTTATCTAGCCAGAATCCGATCTGGAACTCTATCAGTTAACCATCCAACTGACATCGTCAATTATTTCCCTGGGGTTAAACCGACAGTAGCTTTAAACTGGTGCAAAAGCTTATAATAAGCGGATTGTTTTATCCATATCTTTACGGCCTACTAAACTTAATCGCAACATGTTGAAATATTTTTAAGAGGTGAGTAGGAATTTGTGAATGTAGCTTAATAAGACTTGTTTTGCCAAAGATATGTGAGAGTAACGCTCCTATATTCGTAAAGAGTGTTTTGTTGCTGAATTTAGTTCACAATTGCTACATTTGCTTCGTGATTTTTGTAGCAATGTTAGAACATACAAGACCTATATTTCAAGAATAAAGCTGTTGCCTGTTCTTGAAGTGTACTAATTACGAAGGTTATCTTGGCTTTGTTCAGTTTATTCAGTGCTTATTAAGGTGTCGATAGTGGTGAGTCTGACTTCATGTTTTTGCTCACAAGATGTCTAGGTTGGCTCCACATGCTCAGCCAACTGCAGACACAAGGTCAGTAAATGTGAAAGATGGCTTCTCTTCATATATTTTTTATTATCTGGTCTTATGTGACTCATGATGGCCCATAAGGTTGAATAGCTTGTAAATTGCTCTCAACCCTTGCATTGTATATGCATGTAAGACAGGTTAAGTGCCCCTTCATCTTCATTGAAGTCGACAGTGCGAGCCCTAGTTGACACTGTGGGCTGCAGTTGACGTCTCGGTGACTACGTTCATGAAACCACGTCACACTATGGGGCCGCCTTCTGTATTTGATGCTATGTTGCAGTCATAGTGAATGGACCCAAACTCTCTGCATTTGACAAATGGGGTAGGAAAATAAGGGAAGGACTAGAAAATAAAAATATTTCAAAAGCTGTCAGTTCAACAACGTAGCCATTTTTTTTATACTTCAATACAAAATTAAAAGCCTCCGCTTACAAAGCCATAGGGCTACTTTAGAACACAAAGACTGATCTCGTTATGGACGCCTGTAGCTCTAACAGCGACAACAACAACAGAAGTGAAAAAGTATTCTCCGCTTAGTGCACTTATTTTAAAAAAATCACTATTTTACATTATCACACTCAAGCAGACAGTGCACAAAACTACAAATTATTTTTCTATTATTTCGTAAAGTACTCGACACAGGGCTGTCTAATCAAATAATTTTTCTTACGAAATCTTTTGGTTATTGCAATGTAGCCATGAGTTTGTTTCCAGCAGAGCTGGGATTGTATTGAACCGGTAATGGACCAAAACTTATTTCTCTCGAAAACAATCACTGTAAGTCACGTGTGAGTTAAGTCTTGTCACCAAAATAAAAATAAATTAATTAATTAAACCTACAGCATTATTAGATCAATATCAATAATAAGGTTATTTGACAGAATTGTTTTCTCGTAATGAGTAAACAGCATTAAAAACATACGATTAATAAAACGATGGTTTGTTATAAAGCAGTGAGCATAAAAAGGTCGCACTATACAAAACCATACTTCATGTAATACCACACTGAACGTTTATGAATTATCTAAATTGAGTTACTCAGCTTAATGTCCACTGGTTCAAGTCTTACTTGAGGTTTCCAATGTTGGTCTACAGTGAGCCGTGGTTGCGTTCTCTGTGCCTGCGTTGTAAGCTTCTACAGAAGTGCATATGGTCACTTCAAATTCGAAGCCGTCTTTTGGGACTGCCACGCTCTCCCATTTACAAGAATAAACTATTTTATTTTTGTAGGGTGTGCACAACTTATAACACAGATCCCATTACCCACACATTTACCATTTCCATTCTAAAGCCGAAAATCGTCTAAATGACATTTAAGAATTCAGTTCTTCTCTCAAAGAAACACAAGTCTCCAGTACACAGATCAACTGGTTAATGCTACTTAAGGAGACAATCGCTATTTACACTAGAAATTACACAAAACCCATAGACCTACACATAAAATTCAAACTTACTGATTATTATCTTAATCTTTGAAAGCAAGTAGACGTGTTTGTTCCTTTTGCTATGATTTACAAATCCAGAAAATAAACGATTTAATCTCCTAACTCAATGGCTGAAAATCACAAGATGAAGGTAATGTTCAAGGAAGAAAGGGTAGTGGAGATTTTAGAGCCCCTTGTCACTATTTTTCCTGGGACTTAGGTTGTCATGAAAGAGACAATGCACTGATTATGAAATGTGAATAGCCTATCACCAAAGCTGTCACTCTGAATGACACAAGACAGATGGGTGTCATTCAGACAGCAAGGACATCACTAACACAGCTTCAGTGGAGCATGACATGACCATTATAACGTACTTAGCAAGTATCTGACACACGTAATTTATGCTGTCAACATGCTGATAATCAGCTGTACTTCGCAAATTGTGTTCTCCTTGATTTTTATGACAATTGACTGCTGAATTTCTATGGAAATTCCACTTGGTTTTCGCAATTCACATCCACGTTTCATATTAAGCTAAGGCTTGACGTAATTGAGTTTCGAAGAAAAATGTTCTGCATTTCTCTCCACTTGTTCTTTCAATACTACAATGCCACCATTCTGTGATGTTAAACTGCTTCTGAAACTTTCTCTTCTTTAGGTTTCTCGTTTTGGACATTTGGTTCCTGCGTTGTTTCCAAATTCTGCTTATAGACATGTGAAACAATTTTGTGTGTATGTGTGACGTCACAATTGCAAACCATTATAGCGATTCCACTAGTTATTCAAAACACATTTGGCCTCAAGAAGTGATTTACTTGGCAAAATATAATACTCTTCATCAATAAAACGAAATCTTCAAAAACAAACAGAACGATCACACTTGGAGTCGACTACACGCCTTGAACCGCTGTCCATAGCTGAAACCTAGATAAATGTTTTTGCCATGAAGTGCTC